CCGGTAATGATCTTCAACAACCTCTTCCATCAGGCAGTAGATAATGAAGCCTGAACACACGCACGCACACGTAGGCTCGGGAGCAACTTCTTCCTGACCATTGTTGGACTGATGAATGGACTCTTTCGCCTCAAATAATGCTGATCTTGCAAATGTTGGTCTTGCCGAGCACACGCCGGTGCGTTACAACCTGTCTGCCTCTGTCTAAGTCTTTTTGATCTGCCCATCCTTTGCCTACTATAATCTGCCTGTACTGCTCGTAAACCAAGCTTTTTTTACCACATTTTAATACACAATTTTAATTAATACATAATTTTTTTGACAATCAATCAATCTGACAGATTCATTGCATTCCCCACTTACAAAGAACAAAGAAAATTACAGTACAGGAACAGGCCCTTCGGCTCTCCAACCCTGCACCGACATACCGCCTGTCACAATTAAAACGCCCTATCCTTCCGGGGACCGTATCCCTCTATTGCCATCCTATTCATATATTTGCCAAGATGTCCTTTAAAAATCATCATAATATCTGCTTCCACTACCTCTCCTGGCAGCGAGTTCCAGGCACCCACCACCCTCTGTGTAAAAAAAATTGCCTCGTACATCACCTTTAAACCTTGTCCCACGCACCTTACACCCATGGCACCTGGTAACTAACTCTTCCACCCTGGGAAAAAGCTTCTGACCATCCAGTCTGTCCATTCCCTTCATAATCTTGGATACCTCCATAGGCCACCCCTCAACCTCTGTCGTTCCAGTGAGATAAACCCAAGTTTCTCCAACGTCTCCTCATAGATAATGCCCTCCATACCAGGCAACATCCTGGTAAATCTTTTCTCTACCCTCTCCAAAGCCGCCACATCCTTCTGGTCGTGTGGCAACCAGAATTGAACACAATATTCCAAATGCAGCCTAACTAACGTTCTATAAAGCTGCAACATTACCTGCCAATGTTTAAACTCAATGCCCAGGCCGATGAAGGCAAGCATGTCATATGCCTTGTTGACTACCTTTTCCACCTGCGTAGCCACTTTCAGTGACCTGTGTACCTGAACACACAGATCCCACTGCCTATCAGTACTCTTAAGGGTTCTGCCATTTACTGTATATTTTTCATCTGGATTAGACCTTCCAAAATGCATTAGCTCACACGTTTCCAGATTGAACTCCATCTGCCATCTCTCTGTCCAAGTCACCAACCAATCTATATTCAGCTGTATCCTTTGATGGTCCTCATCGCTATCCGCAATTCCACCAACCTTTGTGTCATCGGCAAACTTACTAATCAGACCAGTTATATTCTCCTCCAAATCATTTATAAATATTACAAAAAGCAAAGGTCCCAACACTGATTCCTGAGGAACGCCACGAGTCACTACCCTCCACTCAGAAACGCACCCTTCCACTGCTAACCTCTGTCTTCTATGACTGAGCCAGTTTTTAATATCCATTTTGCAAGCTCACTCTGACCCCGTGCGACTTTACTTTCTCTATCAGCCTGCCATGAGGCACCATGTTAATGGCCTTCCTGAAGTCCATGTAGACAACATCCACTGCCCTACTCTCATCGATCATCTTCATTGCTTCCTCAAAAAACTCAACCAAGTCAGTGGGACACGACCTCCCCTTCACAAAACCATGTTGCCTCTCGCTAATACGCCCATTGATTTCCAGGTGGGAGTAAATCCTGTCTCAAAGAATCCTCTCCAATAATTTCCCTACCACTGACATAAGGCTCATTGGCCTGTAAATAGCTGGATTAACCTTGCCACCCTTCTTAAACAAAGGAGCAACATTGGCCATTGTCCAATCCTCTGGGACCTCCCCTGTAGCCAGAGAGGATACGAAGATTTCTCTCAAGGCCCTAGGAATTTCCTCCCTTGCCTCTCTCAGTATTCTGGTGTATATCCCATCAGGCCCTGGGGACTTGTCTACCTTAATGTTTCTCAAGGCCCCCAATACCTCCTCCGTTTTGATCTCAAAATGACCCAAACTATCTACACACCCTTCCCCAGACTCATCACCTACCAAGTCCTTCTCTATGGTGAAGACTGATGCAAAGTACTCATTTAATACCTCGTCATATCCCTCTGCCTCCACACATAAATTCCGATCCCTGTCCTTGAGTGGGTCAACCCTCTCCCTGGCTACCCTCTTGTTCTTTATATATATATATGTATACATATATATATGGGATTTTCCTTAATCTTGTTGTTGAATTACTTTTCATGATCTCTTTTTAGCCTTCCTGACTCCTCACTTAAGTTTCTTTCATCTTTCCTTGTATTCCACCCTTGCTTCGGACATTCCCAGACTCCTGGCTTTCATAAATGCTTCATTTTTCTTTTTGATTAGGCTCACAATATCTCTCGTTATCCAAGGTTCCCTAAACTTGCTATAATTATCCTTCATCCTCACAGTAACGTGCTTGTCCTGAGCTGCCAGCAAATAACACTCCCACATACCAGATGTTAACTTGCCCTCAAACATCTGCCCCAATCTACATTCTTCAATTCCTGCCTAATATTGTTATAATTAGCCTTTCCCCAATTTAACACCTTCACTTGACAAGTACAACTATAATTATCCATCAGTACTCTTAAGCTTACTGAATTGTGATCATTGTTCCTGAGCTGCTCCCCTACTGAGACATCGACCACCTGGCCAGGTTCATTCCCCAATATTAGGTCCAGTACGGCCCCTTTCCTAGTTGAACTGTCTACATAATGTTTCAAGAAGCTCTCCTGGATGCACCTTACAAACTCTGCCACATCCGAGCCCCAAGCACTAAGTGAGTCCCAGTCAATATATGTGAAGTTAAAATCACCCACGACAACAAGCCTGTTACTTTTACAGCTTGCCAAAATCTGGATACATATCTGTTCTTCTATCTCCTGCTGGCTGTTGGAAGGCCTATAGCAAACCCCAAACATTGTGATTGCACCCTTCCTGTTCCTGAGCTCTACCCATATTGCCTCGCTGTATGAGCCATCCGAGGTGTCCTCCCGCAGTAAAGCTGTGATATTCCCCTCAGCAAGTAGTGCAACTCCCACACCCCTTATATATCCCCCTCTATCCCACCTGAAACATTTGTATCCTGGAATATTAAGCTATCAATCCTGTCCCTCCCTTAACCAAGTCTCTGTAATAGCAACAACATCATAGTTCTAAGTACTAATCCAAGCTCTAAGTTCTTCTACCCTACCTTTTACACTTCTTGCATTGAAACAGGTGCCCTTGAATCCACTATATCTGCTTTGATCAGCAACCACACCCTGTCTGTTCTTTCTCTGAGTCTTACTGGCCCTATTCTCTAGCTCCATTTCAGTACATTCATTTTGCATTGATTCCCACACCCCTGCCAAGCTAATTTAAACCCTCTCGAGGGACACCAGCAAACCTCCCAGCCAGAATATTTGTGCCCTTCCAGTTCAGATGCAACCCGTCCTTTTTGTACAGGTCCCACCTGCCCTTGGAAGAGATCCCAATGGTCCAGATATCTGAAACCCTCCCTCCTACACCAACTGTTTAGCCACGTGTTGAGCTGTACTATCCTCCTATTTCTAGCCTCACTGAAATGTGGTACAGGGAGGAATCCTGAGATTACAACCTTGGAGGCCCTGCTTTTTTAACTTTCTACCTAACTCCCTGAACTGCTGCTGCAGGACCTCGTCACTCATCCTACCTGTGCCGTTAGTACCAATATGTACCACAATCTCTGGCTGTTCACCCTCTCCCTTCAGAATACTTTCTGCCCATTCAGAGGCATCCTGGACCCTGGCACCAGGGAGGCAACACATCATCATGGAGTTTCTTTTTACATCCACAGAAGTGCCTATCTGTATCCCTAACTATCGAGTCCCCAAAACTACTGCTGTAGTGCTCTTTGTCCTTCCCTTCTTAAGAACAGAGCCAGCCGTGGTGCCACCAGTCTGCCTGCTGCTGCTGTTACCCCTGATAGGTCACCCCCCCAACAGTATCCAAAACGGTATACTTGTTAGAGAGGGGGACGACCACAGAGGATTCCTGTACTGGCTGCCAGCTCCTTCTCGCGTGCACCCATCTATCTGCCTGCACCTTGGGTCACCACATCTCTAAAACGATTGTCTATGACGCTTTCTGCCACCCTCATGTTCCTAACTGCATCCGATTCCCGCTTCAACCTATCCATGGGGTCTTTGGGGAGCTGCAATCGGATTCACTTGCGGCAGATATAGTCATCTGAGGCACTGGAAACGCCGCAGATCTCCCACATCTGACAAGTGTAGCACTTAACCCCACTGACTGATATTTCTATTCTCAATCAAGAAAATTTATTAAGCTCTTACCCTTACTTATCGCAGCCAATCCCCGAGGTCGGTTTTCCCTCACTCACCTTCCCAGGATGCTCCCTGCATCTCTCCCTTTCCCTTTGCTGTCACTTGACAACAGCCCCTCCACAAACCATCTTCTGGAAGCAGTGACTGCACTGATGCAGATCTTCCCACGTCGGCCAATCAGCGTCAACACTCTGCTGCCCTCTTCAAGGTGATTTGTCCTGAACTTTTCAATAATCTGTGCTCATATACATCGAGGGCCCTCTGCTCCTGCACCTCCTTTATAACGGTACAGCCTATTTTATATTGTCTTTCAATGTTCTTCCTACCAATTGCATCACCTGACACTGTTCTGCATTGGCCCTCATCTGCCATATACTTGAACACAATACCAACTTGTCTCTATTCTGTTGGTGTTCCAAACTGTCCTTCACACACTTTCCAATTCTTCTAGGTTTGGTATCTGCAGGCATTGAATTTGTAATACAGTCACATTCCACACAGAAATACTGACACATTCCCCACAGAGCAACAGAAATATTGACAAACAACAGACACATTGAGTGAAATAGTGAAAAAATCATCACGGAACAAAATAAATGTTGCCAGACTCTCCATGTTCGTATAAATGTCAGTGTATTAGTTTGTATATCCGTGTTTCTGTATTAGTCCTGCGTAACGATGGCTGTGCGTGTATTTCCATGTCTGTCTGTGGGCGCGGTGGGTCTGGCCGTCTCTGTGGTGTGTAATGTGGTGCAATGTCTCCCTCTGCTGGCCTCTGCACCGTAATGCACCGAGGGCAACGGAAGGTGGAATGGGATTCATTCAGTCTGTGAGGGAGGGCAGGAGGGCAGCGGCTCAGACCACCATCTAAGCTGACAGTCCATCAACACAGCCATGCATACAGACACACACATACAAGGCTAGTGTCGGGAGGATTGCATTTGTACTGAGGTCCTTAAGAGTCGGAAATGCTCATGGAGAGAAATGAATATGCCCTCTCTGCAATGTGGAAGTGATTTGTATTTGGACATTATTCGTCACTCTTCGTGTACACATTAAAGAGTATTTCCACTGCAATTGTATCCAAACAACTCTGAGTGAACCATTTTGTAAGGAGATGAATTGAATTTTATTCCATGTTCTTTAGCTAGCAATGTTTTGTAATGAACTCTTACAAATTAAAAGTGAGAAAGGATTGAGAAGTCCTAAAACAGACCCGATGGTGATGGTAATATGTCAGGAACAACGTTGCTAGTTATCGGACGAAACTGCTCTGTGCCTCCAAGACATTATTTGATGAAACAAAAGGCCGTACAATGTAAGAGATTCACAATGTTTGATGTCGTCCCAAAGAAAACGACCAACTGTGTAGTGGCGTGGGGAGGCCAGCAGGCGGAGACATTGTGTAACACAACAGCGACAGGCAGAGTGAAAGAGTGGGGCGGGTTTGACTCCAATTTCAATGGATTTACTGCAAACACAAATTATCTCATTGCACACGGATGCAGACAGAGATACACACACTAATACGCACAACACATACACACAGAGATATGGACACACAATCAAATACAAACACATAAACAAACCCATACACACGGACACAGTGGTGTCTTTAAGACAGAGATGGATATGTTTTTCATTGATAAGGGGATCACTGGTCAGTTATAGGAGGCAAGGAATGGGGTTGAGAAACATTTCAGCCATGATCAAACGGCACAGCAGACTTGACAAGCCGAGTGGCTTAATTCTGTTCCAATTTCTTATGCTATTATGATCTTATGGTACCTGGACTTGTTTTCATGTGAGTACAGTGGAGGTTAAATTTGATAAGTATTTGACTGAAGTCAGTTAATGGAAATGTGGACAGGTTTGAGGAGCTGAATGATCTATATCTGTTCCTAATTGTTGTGTCCTTGTGTCTCAAAAGAGTGGTGATTGGTTTGAGGGGAACGCAATTTCAGAACGAAGGCCTTCCCATTTCAGATTGAGATAGGGATGTTTCTTTCTCTTTAGGATTGTGTGATCTGTGGTGCTCTCCTCCCCAAGGAGCAGTGAAGACTGGGTTACTGAAAACATTCAAGGCTGAGTTCCATTGATCTTTGTTGAACAATAGAATTAATGTTTATTGGGAACAGGTAGGAATGGGGTGTTCAGCCACAATCACAACAACGATGAGCATTCTGAATGGTGCAGCAGGCTCGAGAGGCCGAATGGCCAACTGCTGCTCCTAACCCAGGTGTTGTTCTCTCACTCAACTCCTCAACGCTGTTCCAGAGGTAGAACAAGACGCCAAACAGCCAGTCAGGATCATTGCAACCCTCCTTCCCCTCAAATGATTTACACAGAAATAGAATGAAGTCATTTTGCCCTTTGACTACATTACACCGCACAGGACAAGACCATGCAACCTTTCGAGGCTGCTGCACAGGAACAGGGGAACCCAGGTTAACTACCAGGCAATAGCCAGCGGAGATAAATGTTTATTTTCAGGTTATAAAGCTGTAACTCGGTGGAGTGCCTCAGGGATCTGTGTGAGTCATCAATGATTTATAATCCAAATCAAGGGACTGATTGGATTGGAACTCAGTTAGCTCATCCATCATGATAGTCATTCATAAGATGTCCAGTGGCGGCACAGAGTCTGCAATGGGATATAAAGACAGGGAAGTATAGTGTGCAAACCATCAGCAGAAATAGCATAATGTGAGTTATGGGTAAATCTGTGCTGTGATGGAAGGATAAAACAACAGTGAAGTGCATAATTGGAAACAGATTGCAGAACATGGTGGTACAGAGGGATTTGTGAGTCCTGGCACGTGAATCCTATAATGTTAGTCTGCACATGCAACCAGTGATTACGAAAGTATATGGAATGATGTTGTTTTATGCAGAAGCTATCTATATAATCGTCGGATTGTTTTACTGCATCTGTAAGGGGCATTACTGAGACCACTCCTGATATATTCCGTGTAGTTACAATTCCCTAAACGGAAAACAAAATGCAAAATTGCTTCAGAAACTTATCAAATTTATTTCACTTTACTCATTCATGGAATGAAAGCCTTATCGAGTCATAGAGTCATACAGTTCAGGAACGGACCCTTCGGTCCAACTCGTCCGTGCCGACCAGATATCCCAAACTGATGTATTTCCATTTGCCAGCATTAGGCCCATATCCCTCTAAACCCTTTCTATTCATGTAACCATCGTGATGCCTTTTAAATGTTGTAACTGTGCCAATCTCCACCACTTCCTCTAGCAGCTCATTCCTTACACACAACACCCTTTACGTGAAAGAGTTACCCATCAGGTCTCTTTAAAATCTGCCCCCTCTCTCATTAAATCTATGCCCTCTAGTTTTGGTCACCCTCACCAGAGAAAAATGATCTTGGCTATTCACTGTATCCACGCCCCTCAATATTTTACAAACCTCTACAAGGTCACGGCACTTTGGGCATGAGAATGAGAGATGTTCATATTGTACCATGTAAGATCTTAAGGACAGCGTATCAGGTGCGTAGCTGATGGATGTTTCCTCTTCTATGGAAGACTGAAACTAAAGATTCAGTTTTATGAAAACAATGTATTCATTTTATCACAGATACTAATAAGACATGAATTTATTGTACGAACATTTGTCAGACACATATGAACATATACTCAAATTAAGTTAAGTTGTTCCTACAAGGAGCAAGGAACAGTCATGGCGTCATACAGCCCAGAAAATGTTGAAGCAGATCTCACATGGTCCAGTTTGGTGGTCGGATAACGTTATTGTATATTTGAGTTCAGAGGAGAAAATGTAACCTGCCAGAGAAGCAGCAACTAATTGCAGCCTCTCTTTCTTTATTCCTCCTCACAGCAATGTATGAGAGCAGAAAACCCGTCAGATATCTTTGCCACTCGTGCAGGATTCCTGTTGAGGATTCACTGGAATCTCTCCATTGCCGAAAGCAAATGAATTTCAGCCAAATCCAACTGTTCCATGAAGAAACCTTTTTGTTGGCAGCTTGTGTGAGCAAATTACTTCAGAGTCAGAACAACATTTGGGACAATCATATTTTTTCTTTTGCCATAAGTTTAGCTCTTGTTTGGACAGAACTCTTTCAAACTGGTATTCTGCAGAGTTTTTTTTTTAATTCTTTCTGTTTGTCACAGACATGTGTGTACGTGTGTGTCTGTGTGTGCGACTATGTGTGAGTCCATGTATGCATGCGTCTCTGTGTGTGCGCGTTTCTGTGTGTCTCAGTCTTTGTAGACACGTAAATATTGATGTATATATATTTCAGTGACCAAACTGTTTATCATTTATCTTTCCATCATAGATTGAGTAACTTTGTTTTGATTATATATTAGTTATTTTCGCAAATTTAAGACACCTACCTGAGTTGTCCCGAAGGCTGAAATTAATCCAGTCTGAGATCCATATAATTGACCATTTCACCAAGTCGGGTACATTTAAAATTTGTCATGATCAATGGAGGAACGGGACTAGAAATGATAGCAGTTACCGTCCAAACTCGGTCTAAACAGGGGTGAGGAGAAATTCTCAAAGGGCCGTTTAAGTTGGAATTCTTTTCCCCAGGAGTCTGTGGCACCTGTGTGTTTGCAGTTATTCAAAGCTGTGTTAGTTAAATATTTGTCAGAAAAGTGAGTCAAGGATAATGAACTACAGATAGGAAAGTGCGGCCGAGAACACTTAGGCCATGATCTTAGTGCTTGGTGGAGCAGGGACAAAGTGTTTAATGTCGCAATCTTGCTCCTCAGTCCATTCCATTCCATTCTACATTCCATTCCACCCCAGAAAGCTGCAACTCAGGATCAGTTGGAGACCATTTGCTCTTGGTACCCAGTGAATCAAAACAGAGACAATTCGGCCTCTGAAGACTGTCGCACATGGTTGAGTGTGAGATGGAAATATTCTTGGGAAAAAAGAGTGGGTGCTGGTCTGACACAGACCCCCTCATTTCCCTTTACAGAGTTTCCCCTGTCTCCATTTGTTGGTTATGTTGTAGATCCAGATTCCCTATGAATACAGCAGCAGCCCCATCCCGTCCCCCGCCATACTGCACTCACAAAATCCTATGGTCTCCCTGATTGCAACATTCTTGAACAGAACGTCCTGGAAAATAACAGCACTCACTTTCCAATAACAAAATATGAGAACACCATAAACAGGAGTCTGTTATTCATCCCCTCAAACCTGCCTTTCCCCTCAATTGATCAGGGTTGATCTGCTCTCGTCCTCATCTCCTCTTTCATACCCAATTGCTTGTAACCCTCAACTCTCTGATGTGTCCAAATCCATCAACAACCCCTCACCCTCACCTCCAAACATTTCAGTGATTTAGCTCCCCTGGTGTTCTGGAACAGAGAAGATCCGAACGTCACTACCCTCACTGAGAATGGTATCAATGAGCCCGAACAAAATTGAACTTAAAGGCAATGTGTTTTGAACTCCCCACTGGTTGGAGTCAGCCGTAGCACAAAGGAAGATGTTTGTGATTGGTGGACATCAATCCTCTCTGTCCCAGGATATCGCTGCAGGAGACCTCAGTCTAGCTTCCTCGACATAAACATCTTCAGCGGCTTCATCGAAGACTTCCCCTCCCAACAGAAGATCAGAAGTGGGGATGTTCATTGATGATCAGACAATGTTCAGAAAAACATGTCATCTCTCAGTACCTGAATCAGTCTGTGTACATGTGCAGTAAGACAATATTCAAGCTTATGCTGTTGAGGTGTCAATAATATTCATGTAACAGTATTGCTATACACT